ATCTCGTCCGTATATATTACACGTAAAGAATACCACCGAAAAATGATTGTACAGCAAAGAATTGAATCCTAATACATCACAACTGATATGCTGATCAGTATCACGAAGAATAGAGTGGGACTGCATTGAATGCCGTAGATCTGTTGGATGTTTCAGGTTATCAACTGACAGCAATAAGTTCTCGAATCAAGAGAATCCACAATACTCAGAGGGAGTATCTGAATGCTCTGCGTAGTATTCAAAAACATAATCAGCGGAATATATCATTAATTGAAGAACGAAAACCCTTACGTTCATTTTGATGAGAAGAGCTCATGCGTTTCATTTGATTTGAACGCAATTTTGTTCAGTCAAATTGAAGAGTGATACAATTTTATTCGAGGCAAAAATCAGAATTCATTTTCCAATTGATATTTTCCAGAATTCATTTTCCAGTGAATTCTCGAGAATATTTTCTGTTTCTTCTGAATGCCAGCTACATCACTGCTCATATTTATTGACCATATAAGCTAGCCAGCTGAACAACTTTTCTCACAATCAGTAAACAACGTTCCTGCGTTGTGGTAGATTTACTGAAGAAATTACCATTTTTCAGGCAATGTTCCTGGCAAGATTCGAATGCAACGATTCATATGAACAGAGATTGTGTTGATGTAAGTTTCTTTTGGTTTTGATCTGTAATGATTTAATCTGACTTGGATTACACAATATAGCCATGATTATATGCGACTATAATTTCGCAAATTGAATTTAAAAAACTGCAATTTTGTCCCACTTGTATTCATTTTCGTTCAGTTTATTCATTCATGGATTTAGCAACATTGGCATATGGATAATGACTTAAAGGGTAAATCACTTTGTGCAGCTGAAATGCGATTGTTAATAATGATTGACGAATACTGAATAGTGCAATGAGCATCATTCATATTTTATTCCATGCTGTCATTTTGTGCAAACCTATTATAATATATCTCAAGTACGCTATGCACACCTGCGAATATCATTGTACACATACTTACATGCTTCTTATCCCATTTTTCGATCTCGTCGATAATCCTTGGATAATTTTAACGTACAATTTACGGCCAATGACAAACACAACGACTCTTAAAGTAGGATTGATCATCATCTGCATTGAACTCATCAATTTGTTACAACGTGTTAAAAACGTAAAATTTTAAAGAACTGCACAAAGTTCACGCAAACAATGCATATCGACATAAGTGATGTTTTGAGTACTTCAGATAATCTGGAGAATATTAGTAGCGGCTCTAAAGTTTTCAGCTGCTCAATATGCGAACACTTTTCGAACCGGTCACTTTTAATCGTATAACTGGTCATGATAGTTTTTTGATCATTTGGTTTAACTTTTGATCATGATTCCGTTCGCTCTCTACAACTAATTATATCACTGAGGTGATGAATTATTAGGAGTTGAAAAGGGTAAAAAAGTTCCGATTGTCGTAAACTTTAGTAGATTCCCTTTGTAAAGTTCTCCGTTTTTGAAACAAGTTCTTGATTTAAGTCGCTCAATGTTCCAGTCTTCCAAACATTCCTTTCGTACAGCATCATATATTCACTTGAAAGTCTTCATTTTCGAACACGATTCCAGTGTTCGAATGATTTTTGTGGAGTGGTGTCATCTCAAATTGTAACAATTGAAGTCAACAGTGGAAATGTACTTGAGCGATCAGTAATATTCAGCAAAATGACTCCTAAACCTTATAATGTTGGGAGTTTTCTACTTCGTGCATCGTAATCGTTTAATGACCATTCATCACAATCAGACGAAATCAATTATCCTACTCATTTTAAGACCACCTTAGAGCAAGTAATTTACTAAAAGCAATTCTTAAAAAAAATCTCTCAGAAAAGTAATCTGTAAGTTTTTAAAGCCAGTGCTTGTGATTAACTTTGAATGGCTCATTCATCAAATTGGCTATGAATCCATGCATAAAAATTCTACGGTACTGCAGTAAATTTGCCTTGCAAGGAACTCAATCACTGGGATGTGCAACACTCATTTAAACCAACAAATTGAATCTTTTCGAGACCTATGTTGCAACTCAGCTCACTTAGACATGAACAGTAATCATCCATCAGACTACAAGAACAATTGGGCAGTTGAACGGACACTCATAAATGCTCATAGCATAAGAGTCATTAACTTTACGATGCGCAACTTTCCAGCACAAAAGCTTGAGGAATCGACTTGCATGGTCATGTGTAAGGGCAATAATCATTATCACCCTTATACGTGATCGTATGAGACAATCTTCGCGAGTGGTGTTTTATGATCGGTATCATTAGAAGGCCGTAAACCAACGATATACTCATAAATCGAGTGATCTAATGAGAGGCGAAGCCTCATTACAATAACTGTCACTGTTACTGTTGTGATTATTATAATTGTGCTGTGTGATCATGATTTATCTTATTGTTGATGCCGAGAATAAGCTTGATGTTACAGGATGACACCTGTTTGCTGATCCTGTCGCATATCCTTTCAATTGATAAGGCACCGCATCTCTCGCATGTCTCCAGACTCATCAACATGAAATACAATTGTTCAGGTAAAATACATCCACTTATTCATCATTATACTCAACTCTTTCAGATTCATCCATCATTGACCTCATTCTTTTCGAACGCAACTTCATTTCCTTCTTGCAACTTCTTAATTATGCATTCGCTGCCTAATTAATGATCAAATCTAATTGTGCGTGCATGAACCGATTATCGAGATGAGCCACATTATGGTGTAAAAAGAAATACAATTTCTGCACATGTGTTCATGTTTTCGCTTTCAGCCATCTCGTATTTCTTCATGATTCTTTCCTAATTAGGCGTATAAATGTAATGAATGAGTGACCCACCCTTCTTTTACTTGCTAGAGTTCAACAAATAATGCATCCGCTAATCTGACGTCAACATATCACCAACTAACCAATAATAATAAAATAATTGTAATAATAATAATAATAATAATAGTAATAATGATCTAAGAAAGAGCACTAACTAACTACAGCTCATAATTAGCTAATTGCTCATGCCATTCGCATACACTCATTCACGAAGAAAACAACAGAAAAAAGATACAATTCTCAGTGCTTGAGAGTCCTGATAACAGATGGTGAAAAGGTCTTTTCGAATGACAGCCGACTTAAGGCCAATCAATTTTGACGGATGGTCATTGTGACTAGTGAATTGTATTGCATTATTCGTGATACTAGTGTTTTCAAGGTACATAATTATATTGTGTCTGATCATGATGGATGGATGTATTTATATGCAAAAGCTTACATTATTGAATTTTCAAAAATTTATGATTTATTAGGTCGTTCTACTTGCTTCACGTTTTCGTGAAGAAAGCTGGTTGAAAAAAAANAAAAAAAAGATTTTCTGTGATTTTCTGCTTTGATTTATCAGCGGCTATAACAGACAAATTGTCGGAATCTAATGACATCTTAAAATGATGTGCCTTGGTTATAGGGAGTATGTCACATGCAATGTTTGATGTGAGTGTTAGTAAGGGATAAGTGTTAAGGAAGCGTGCAGTAAATCTGATCGAATAGATATTTAGATAGTTGGTTACACAATGAGGAGGATACAGTGAGGTTGAGTTGTGGGAAGATCAATGAAGAGGATGAGGGATATAAGTGCTGATTGCGAGGGTCAAAATCATCATCGATTGTTACGCCATCTGAAAAGGTCAGAGGGATACCGCAAAAGGTTGACCATCGAAAGGGTAATTAGACGCGACATCGTAACACTTCTTGTTTCCTTCCTTCCGCTCGGTCCAAGGAAGTAACCAACTAACGCTGCAGACGATGCTCATCACGATCAACTACTGTCAATACTGAATCAACATTGTCTGTCTGAATTGAACACTGAACACATCATAAACATTCAGTTGTCTAATGAACACATCATCAGTTCAGATTCATTGAAACGTCAACAATTGCATCAATAAACACTCACTCGTATCTAATGCTGGATTTACTGTATCCTTTTGTTTGAAATATGTCTTTGATCTGGATAGCATCTGTGTCCTGCATAGATTTTGAAACAACACGCTTGAGGTTGAAAATCCCTGGTTTGTTCACCTTGTTAGAAATGTTTACCTAAGTGTTTTGATGCGAGGTCATATTACCTTTACTAATTCATGTTTGAACAGTAAAATGATCCAACGCTAGAGCAGTGTGGGTTTGTTAGATAACACAGAAATGCTCATTGTCAGATGAAATTCAACTTAGGACTTACCTTCCAAAGGTTCATTTCATTTTATGGGGAAATTTCATTCATTCATCGAAATGCGCTCAATTCGCTCAGCATTTCGATCATTTCTGAATGAGGATAATCTTTGAGGATGTTAATGCATACATCCATTACAACACAACATCATATCCTTGATGATTTGAAAATTTGACAACATTTTGACAATCACTGAATTCACAAAATTAATCAACCACCTTATAAAACTCATGTGAATTTGAATTCAAATTCGTTTACGCGTCAAATATCAACGATTTCCTCGAAGGTTTTTATTTGCTTAGTCAGAAGACGCGAAATCCATTTGCACATAATGCTGTTGTTGAGTGATGATGATGATGTCAATTGGCTCAGCATGATGATTTATTACCGTCCAATTGGATCTTAAAGGAAAATGCCGATCGCTTCTGCGCTTAGAAATTCGTCAAAAGGATTGAAGAACACCTTCTTCGCAAACAGCACTAGCATTTACGATAGAAACAACATATAATACTTTAGTCAAACAAAATTATATTTCATTTCAACTGACATAAAATTAATGCATGCGATCGGCGAAATTATACGAATGTTACTGCTGACAACTCTCTTATGATTATAAAAGATTATAAAATTCTGTTCAAGCAGACTCATGACATCGTTATGGTACCCAAACGGAGAGAAGTGATGCTTTTGGTCAATTAGAAAGATCAAATTTGAATGTGTTTAAGGATTTTTTTGTTGATTTTATCTAGATACAGTCTATAAAAACAAATTCTGCAGAGAAGCAAAACAATATCTCAGAGTTTAATGCTAATCATTTTTGCAGTAAATATTGCTTCCAATACATTCCTTTCGTATTTCCTTTATTGCCTTTACACATTTCCTTTATGCATTTCCTTTATACAATGCATGAGATGCTCAAGTTTATATACATTTGATCATCGACATCGAGAGTGAAGTTAAGTTTACTGCGAAATATCAAATGAAATGCCTTCTTCGAAGAATTCGCTTGAGCCGAAGTTATTTATAATAAAAGGCTGGACAATTTGTTATAGCAGTATTTCAAAGGCGAACATTTCAGATCGTTGTACAATACAGTGCGAAAATGGTGGTTCGATAAACGATAACTGTGAGTGTGAGTGCAGTTATGGTTTTGAGGGTGATCGATGTCAGTTGCTGACAAAACGAAAACTTTTCACTGATCCATCGTGTGGACAAGTTGATACAAGTCAACAGTCGGTTATTTCACTCAGGTGAGCGAGCAATTACTTTTTCTCGATGAAAATTCAACTTACAAGATTGTGATGCCAAAGAAGATGCGATTTTTTGAGCATTAATTGAGGGAACTATTGAACTCGCGCAGAATTGGTTGTATGGCTCGGACTTGAATTCGTTGCTTCCAATCAGATATTGGGCTACTTCCAGTTCTTTTTTTTTAGTCAGCTGAATGAAATTTTTAATTGTTGGTGTTTTTTTTCAGTTCATATCCAGATTCAGCAAGTGGATCGACATTTTGTCAGTGGCTGGTTCGTGGATCGTTAAGCGAATCAATTGAATTCGAGATTGCTGACCTCGATTTGGATGCGGACAACATGTTACCTGGACAGAAATGCAACGATCTCTTCTACATTTGGGGATCAGCACAAATCACCAATCCGTTAGAACTTCTATTATACAAATAATTCATAGATCCGCGATTTCCGCTAGACGGCTGAAGAGATCTCAGTGAATTGAAACCTCAGTGGTTGAAATAAGATTTTGAAACGGAATGGATACTTATTGTTAGGATGTTTGTTGAATAGCATTTATCTGTAAACGCACTTTTACTATGAAAGTTTTTGTTTGCCCACCTAGTCGTTTTGTTTGCTCATTTATTCTGCTGTAGTATTGGATTTCGTTCCAAAGTTCATCCAAAATATGCTTTCAGAGTGAATTGTGATCCAAAATCAGTGCAGAGTTTGCAAGGAATCAAATACAAAAGCGACACGAATTGGCTTCTCATTGAACTACGGATGAATCCTTGGTCCGAAAGACCACATAAGGGACCATTCATCAAATTTCGTCTCGTCGATTCACCGATGCCACAACGTGAGTCAAGTCCTCCTCATTTAGAGTATGAACGAATCGAGCAGACATTGTCTTGCAAAGAGGGGATTCACTTGTCATGAAGTGAATTGCTATTTAAGCTCTTAATGCTTGTTCGAAATCTTTCCTATGAAATTTTAGCTCGAAGATTGCTATCTCATACTGTCCTTTTCATTCCTAAGAAAGACACCATATCTCTGGTTAATTGAATGCATCCGTGGGGTTTTATGCGAGTGTTTTGACTCATAAATTTTCGTTTTCCTAATTCCCCAAAGGATATAGTACAAGAGCAATTTGCTTTCTTAACATCCGTTGAATTAACTCATTTAATGTCACCATCATCAAAATTAAGTTTATTGAGAATCGACGATAACATTATTCGATTGCTCATTTCTTGTTAAATGAGACCTATTCAATGGATAATATTACTGGTATTCTTAATAGTGCTGTTATTGTTATTATTGCTGTTATGTTAGTATTCTCACAATATAGTTGACAATCATTTTGGAATAGGATAGCCACTGACCAAGTCCAATTCAGACTTGTGGCTAGTCTATCTCAGCCGAGCCAGCTAACAGCATCACATAAAATCTAATTGGATTGTGAGACAGATTGCTTCGGGAATAGACGTAATTTACCAATGAAAGAGTTGAGCCGTTGAAAGAAAGACCAATAGACATATTATTCATCTTCGTTACTCCGCTTCCGTGGACATCCGTTTAGTCATTTCTACTCGGCTATTGTTCAGTGATTGGTCTGATAGATGTGGTACAAATGAAGAGCCTTCATCAGCGCTTATGATTAGTTAGTATAGCTCTGTAAGGCAGCTACATGAACACGCAGCAGCGATCCGATTTCGGGTTTCTGCTATATATAGTACAAGAAAACAGAATTGATCCTGAATTGAAAATCCTGAATTGAAAAGTACAACGATTACCAACAAAAAATAAGATCAGATCAAAGTTTCGAGAGCAGACGAATATCGGATCATTAATGAAATTTGAGCTATGAAGTCTCAGAAGTCACACAATGATCACAAACGTTCAATATGATCACCTAGGTGATCTGAACCAATTCAAAGGAATCCTAAAAATTCAAATGGAAAATTTTTGCTCATTATTCAAATGGAACTTCCGATTCGTTCCAATTAGTTTTTGAAATGGATGTGCTCAGTGAATGATTCATGTGATGCAAACAAATTTCAGCGTTGCGAGCATTCTCAGCCGAAGTGTCCTCATCGTCACCCAACCAGCAACGTTACTTCATGATCTCGTCCTTTATTGCAGCTGTTGTTTTGTTCATGCTTCGCTTGTAATATTTACTTCACTTATAGTACCTCTCGTATTCAATTTTAATACAATTTCTTGTTATTTCATTATACTTCGTCATTTGTAAATTATTTCGGTTTTCGAATAAATTTCACTGTGCTCATTTTTAATCATGCTGCTTGTGATTTATTATCGTTGCGCACTTACTGTTCATTTATTCTGATGATGAAATGAAAATGATCGTTCATAGTGATTTCGTCATTTCAGAATTTAAATTTATTCTTACAATTTATCAGCATTCAACAATCATTCAATGCTCATTTCTGTTTGCATCAAATTTCGACATCTGTCATGCAAAATAGAGCCGAATTATTCAGCACACCTCATGTGAATGAAACAGAATGAATTTTTAAAGTGCAACTCAATTTATTCTTCTATAACCAATTTGTGACATCTTCTCACGAATTCGGTACATTATTGATGATTGAGTAATTTGAGCGTATAACATAGCGTTTTTCAACACACAATTTTATTGCGCAAAATAGGTGCTGTCTTATATTCAATATGTTCTCCCGTTTGATGGTTCGAATGAAAGAGGAAATGAATATGAATCATATCATTGAGTAGAAATTCATTTTGTGTGCGTGACGGATCTGCCATATTCAGTGGGGACCGCTGTGGAGGTGCAGAGAGTACATCGGAGAAGATTAAATTACCGAATGTTATTGGCTCGTTGGTGTCGGTCATTTTTATTACGTTGACTTCATTACCAAGCAGACCGCTGACACTTTAGTGTACTTGTCGGAAATTTATTCTTTAGTCCCGAAATATTCGTAGGCAAACATTGAGAGTAATTTTAGCTAGGCGAATAAGTGAGGATTCTAGCACCTCTGAGTAACCAATGCGCTAAGGGAAGTTTTGAATGAACGTTCACTTCGAGAATAGCCTCTAAACTGTGACGATCATGGACGGTTATCGGGATCGTTTCGTCCGGAATCACTGATTTGCGATCAGCACGAATCCAAATTGCTTTCAGTTGTTGATACGCTTGTGCGTCTTGCTCGTTTCGTGAAGTCTGCAGTTCCAGCAGTTCATCATTTGCTTCATCGTATCTTCAAAAATCCTCGATCAACTTAAACTTGACGATCTTAATCGGCTTAATTCAACGATTTATATCTGCCTGAGCTTTGAGGCCTTATTTCTCTGACGGTAACATTTGTGGGTTTTGATAGTTGTGACGGAACAATTAATTGCTCGCAGACAAAGAGACTACATCAACTTTTGTGAAAATTACGGTAGTGGTCAGCAACAAAGAAAGCATTCACCTGCATCCCAATAATACGCACCCAACGAACTGCGTATATTTTACCTCAGTTTCTGCTGGTTTACTCAACTGCGCACAACACACAACCTTCAAATAATACAGTTCGATTGCTCCATCGGAAGAAATTTTTTTGGGCAAAACTGTGGCATAAAGAGAGATTTTTTCGGTTTAAGAAAGTTGTGGACCTGTTCGAGACCAATTTCTTGCTTAGCTGAATATTCAAGACGAAGAGCTGCAATCAACGCAGAAGGGCGTTCCATTTGCGAAACATCAACCGTGTCGATAGTAGTAGTTTGACTGAGAAGTGAAGTCAGATAGAGTTGCCTAAAAATTTTTGAAATACAAATGCAAACCGCATTTACGACAATGATCCAGTATTCATTTGAGAAGCAGTTTGTTAGACCATGAAATTGAGAACCTTTCAACGATTCCTTCATAGAAGCAATTGATGCTACATATTATTTTTCTGGTGAAATTATTTGCAAACGATTCAAAATTTATAACTTATAAATATTTCAAGCTGTTGCAATCGCAAAATAAGCAATCAGAATGATATCGAGAGAGAACAATCGAACAGCCAAATTCGAATACTTTGATTGATCAGAGCGGTGAGCACTTCTCTGCTGCGAGTTCAGCTCTTGCTGAATACATTGAACGAATAGGCTACCAGTAACTTCGACTTCGTCGTTTTCTACTACTTCAGTTTCTTCAGTGCCAGTTTCAAGCGTCTCGTCTTCTTGTTTCTCATCGTCCACTCCAAACATGATGTGAATCTTGGAAGCCATCTATAAATTAGGTCTCAGAAATATTCTTTAAGATGACTTGATCTCAAATTTATGAACAATTTATCTGTTCTGACGATTCCAGTTTTAAACAATAACATGTGAGGTGATCATCTCCAACTTAAAAACAATCGTGAACTTTCTTAAGAAAATAAGGAATGTATTGGCTGTAAAATTTATGAAGTTTCTTCCCCACTACCTTCTGAAATCGTTTCTTTGTGAATACTTTCTCCACATTTTCATTCAATCCGCTCAGCATGTACGATTTGATAGTGGCGGTGTCTGAATGATGTATAATATGACTTGTCCAAAATGATTTTGGAATTATTCCTTCAATCATCGCGTTGGTCTTATCAAAGAGCCAATCACAAATTGACCAAAATACTCTTTGATCATAGTCGTTATCAATTCTACTCAAATACACCAAATCCAGGACATTTATTCGTAGGCTTCCCATCGCAACACTTGCTTGCGACGCCGCTAAGTCCTGTGAATTTAATCAAGTGAATTTACTTTATGGATTTCATCCTATTCGATTCTGATAGTAACTTTAGCCTTAATATGAGGAATGTTTTGATAGCTATTCTTTTTTTTTNTTTTTTTTTGAAGTACAAGTACACTTGCTCATTCAAACGAACTCAATAATTTATGGAAACTCAACATAGTCAGCAATTTACTCGAAAAAGATGCAGTGAAAGCTGTAGCTCGACATCGCCAACTTCGAAAGGCTTCGACCATCCGTAAATACCGTATCGACATCGCTGACGAATTGCAAAATGCAGCAAACAAATGCGATAAAGCTGTGATCGTTTATCGTCCTCAAAAAGCATTCATCAGAGCGATGAGCATCTCAGCAGAGAAATGCTCATCGCTATTCAGATAATATGAACGACGTGCAAAGAAAATGTCTGTAGAACCATACTGTATCCAGACGGTCACTGATCTCAGTTGCCGGCCCATTATCGTAGCAATATCGGATAAAATCGGGCAGTCTGTTCGGAATCTCGATTGCAATAAGTTGACAGTGGTCAAGAAAGGGCTGCTGAAAGATATTCAAAAAGATTGATTGGAAGCCTCTCGGGAATACCTCATTAAGTGATCTGATCAGTGTCTTTGAGATCACTAAGAATTGTTACCGATGTGAATTCTCGACATTTTCATTTTTGCAACGAATGCAAGTGAACGTTTGCCTATATCCGACACTGATATTTAAAGGCATAATTTCAGAGAAATCAGAACATCTTCGGATTACCCTCCAAACTCTAAAGCATCTTACCGGTTGTTCATCCGAATATATTGAAAAGAAAACACGGAATGCTTGATTGATATTCTGCGCATTCTTAATCTGGAATTTGTGAAATCGTTACATTCAATTTTCTGATAGTTGTTTTGTTCCGAAATGGAAATTGCATAAGATAATTTCAACGAAGATTTCTCAAATGCTCAATTGTAAGGATGACCTAAACATTCCATTTACTCTGGGACGGGTGTGGGGAAAACAAAAGTAACTTCTCCTGAGGTTAGCAAGGATGTGGGAAAAAAGTTTATCGCTTTACCAAACTCACTCTATATAGAAAGATCGCAATAAAATATAGTTATACAGTTATATGTATTTTATGATGATCATTTTCGATCAAGTAATAATATTCTGATGTGATCCCCTCAAAACACTGTAGATGATTTGGATGAAGTCACCTTGGAAAGGATTTCTTCGAGAATTTGCAGCTGTGCTGACGACACCAGATGAGCATCCTCAAAAAGAATCCATTCTCCCGATTTCATGATTGTGCTGATGGGTATTTTGCTGAGATCTTCAGTCACCGAATGAACGTGAAGCATAGTTTCGTCGACACTAAATGTCGAAATTTATAGCATGATTTTTTCCGAAAACTTCCGTTCAGTGGTACAATACTCAATACAGTACAATATCATTTGTACATTCATGATCAGCTACACGAGTTCTACAAAATGATATATGTCTCATCTCGAAAGAAGGCGGTTACTTTATGACCTTTCCTTATCAGTAATTTGTTTTAAAATTGGACTGTTGATTGAAACAGTGTTTGAGTGGCTGTCAGACCTTTTCATGTACAGTTCGCTTTTTCTTGATCCCATAAGCTGTTCAAGCATTCGAAGAACTGATAATGATTCTTGTCGAACAATCAACGCAATTGGTGTGTGATAATCAGCAGCTAAATGAGCCTTGAAAATATCAATTGTTGATGTTTCACAGTCACTCTTCGAAAGATCTCTCAACTTCTGCCAATCCACTTTAGCCAACCTTCAACAGAAACGAATTATGTTGCTTACATCAATGGATTGGTTATTGCTGATAGGTGTGTTATTGAAATTATTCTTAAGCGTTAAAGATAGCGGAATTCTGCTTTATACTGGTTGGGAAATTTTAACAAGAAAAGCTGTCGAACTGTTGCTCGGTGAGTTCGGATTTGATTAGTACGTCGAAGATTTGACGATGTTCATCGAATAGTGCACATGAGAGCTCATCGAAACACGACGCTGATTGATCTGCGATCGATTTCACATTGATCCCTTCTTGAGAGTTACTCAACACACGGATTCTCTGAATTCGCGGAAAATATAAAGTGCTCTTGAAGCAGCGAATGAACAACAAATTGGCCAAATGCTAAGAGAGCAAACGATCCAAAACGTCGTCTGATATCAATGGTACTTACAAGTATGCCGAAACGAAACTATTTTATTTCAGCAAAACACGAATAAACTTCAATTTGGAATGTTGGTAAAGATAAAAGAAGTGGGAACACCATGTTTAGTGGGGGTAATCAAGACGATTTTCCCAAAGAAATTAAGAAGTGATGCTTGAGGAAAATCATTCTCTACCATAAAAAAGCAATGGCTCAAGAAAGAACCTTTGCGAAAAGCTCGATGAGGACATCGATAGAGAAGCGGTAAATTGGTAGCAGAATATTTAACGATTCAATCAGTCTGATCTTATGAGTTATTTGATCAATAATAGACCAGTAGTCTGCTTTGATTTGAGTCATTTGGTTGCTCATTTGTTTTAATTCACTCTGTAATCGACTTCTATTACTTTATTCGATCACTTCTATTATTTTATGAATTCGATTATTTTTAAGCACAAGTGAAGTTTATGCCTGAAATTAGCACATAGTTTTGATCATATATTTGCATTCAGCAATCTTCAGTCAAGACAGCTGAGCTGAACATGCAAAGATTGACGTAGCGGCATAAGATCATGCTTTCTAAACAGGTGATCTCGATGCATCCACCACTTGGAAAACGAACGTTAAAAATATAGGCCGAAGTAAAAACTTTACCGTAACAGAATCGCTTTCGAGATTTAGCTGTTTCGATTCCGATAGCAATTCGATCGCTCTCTCGTCTTCTAATTCACCAACATTCGCTAACATTGTCAACAGATTTTGCTCACACTTTGCGAGTTGTTGATCAAGGCGCACCTCAAGAAATACAAATCAATTCAAAGTGTTGTGATGATTCGATTATTTGAATGGTACATATTACCATCCAATTGCAACTAGCAATCAGCTCAAAATGCACACATTTATATCATTCATAAATTTCTTCAAGTTGGTTGGCTTGGGAAAATATTATTGAAAAAAANAAAAAAACGAAGAGGTTGAGTCAGCAACTCACTTTTTCTTCACTCAATTCTTTGCTTCTTTTCTGAAGTGCCGGAGCTGTACTCGAATATATAACTTGCCACAATTTGGCATGAATCTCTTCATCGCTCATTGCGCACTCGATTGGTACAATCTGAATTTTGGTTTGTGATGATAGCCTCGAAAACGACTAGAATTTTAACTGACAAGATCAATAACAAATATGAAAATACACAGGAGGTTTGTTTTCACTCACTTTAGAGAGGAAAGCAGCCGAGAAACTTGTACGTGGTTTGTCGGTGCACAGATAGAGTCGAAATGCATCGTTGTAAGCGATTTTTTTACCGTCGAATATCACAAACTAAAATCTAATTCCGTGTAGTGGTCAATATGATTTTTATGCAACAAAAAATTGTATTCTATTGGATCTGTTTTCAAATACTGATTTAATTCATTTCGAAGTTTCGAAAGCCCCACCGTTACACAATAATCTGTAGTTTCTCTTGTTATTCACAGTAAAATTATTGCTCTTGACAGAGGATTAACAGAGGATACCAAACCCAATTTCAGTGGGAGTGATAGTGAGATGAAAGGCATGGAAAATGTTGAGAACCTGTTGTTTGTTCAGTGAGATAATGTGGAATGTAAGAACTGAAAGTATAAACGGTGGAATGGTTTCGTGCTGAAGCGATTCCACTAGAACTGCAGTACCGCTCGTGATTGCGTTTTGAATGAGACTCGGCAATCGCCGTTCAGATACGTCAACGACAAGCAATCGATCAGCATGCAACTGTCTGAGAAATGATTTCGCTTCACCTGGAAATCGGTACTGCTAGTGCTGAGACATGTGTAATATCACCAAATGTTTTTGAGTAACAGTCGATGCTTAATTCATTGGCTATTTATTGATAGCACTTCAACTTGCGAATAACAAGCCATCAACTCATAGTTGTTTTCAACAGCATTCAGATGCGGAACTAATTCGAAAGAAAATAGAAAGTTGCTCAAACATAGTGCTTTGCGTGTCATAAGCAAGCCTCTGCTTAGAGATGCTCGTTGATGAATACCTCGAGAATTGATGATGAGCGGTACTCGCCGTGAATTCTCCAACATTATGGCGTTTTCGGATGGACGTTCCCCATCACAAATCATTTGCAGATTGAATGCTTCCATAATTCCAAGATGTTCGCGAATCTTATCAAGCACATCCTAGAACACTGCCTGCTAACTGCATTTAATAATGAGTGTTCAAGTTGGTCTTAGCTCAAGTTGAGCGATGCTACTTAGTAACTATAAAATCGAGTACCTCAGAAAGGTATGTAATGTGTTTATGTCAACAACTTTTTGCCCTATAAGATTATAAATGATACTGTAGAATTTTGTGACGAACATTTCTGGATTTTGATGTATACGCTGATAAATATTCAATGGCAATCGATCCTAGCAAAGCGTTTTGCTCAGCACGTTCTAGTTCGTCATTCAGTTCGACAAACAACTGGCTTTGCCATCTGTCTTTCTCTCCTCCTAGAATCAGTTTAAATATTATTAAGAGCTGCTTCTAGACGCTTCCCAAATGCTTCATCATCAACGACTGCGTTCCACTCGACAGAAGCATTGCGAGCGTAAATCAGAGCATGATATTAACCGAGTGCTACAACAAGTCTTTGTATTCTTGTCATTCGTTGTTCGCACGACTGGATTTGTAGAAGTAACTCTTGTTTTCGCTGACTCATACGACTGAAGCTATCACTTAACGATTGCAAATGTTCTGTTACCTCCTGAAAACCAAATATCAAATAAATACTCTTTATCGGTGATTTGCTCTCAACTTTTGATCTTTTATAAATTCATCTAAGGCAGATTATGAGAAAATTCAACATAATCGCAAGCCAACCTGAAGCGCTTTTCGACGCAGATCTAGTTGTTTCATTTGTTTTTTGACATAACGCTCAGCTGCTTTGAGTTTTTCACGCTTCGGCGCAACGATTGTTGCAATACGATCATATGCATCAATAGCTTTTACCCATAGACACAGACCCTCGGCAGCCAATGACGACTATAAAGTGTTCTCATGCTGGGGAAACAACCAGAAAAAAACAAAGCAACTTTCTGGCAATTTGAATAGAATTGGAGATTGATAAATAGTCTACAAAAGCAAGCAATGAAAGAGATCGAAACTAAAAAACGCCTGTGAAACACAACAGGCAGAATTGCATAAATCACAACGATAAATGACTGATTGTGAGATATCATTTCGGGAAAAAGAAAGAAGTGTTTTAACTGGGAATTCGTATCAAACTAGCCTGTCGCACAACTTCAGGATCGAATTCATCCATTGATAGATATTTTCTGCAAAAAAATCCTTTCTAAAAGTTATATTCTCTGGGTTGGCAAAACCTGGCCAAACAGCATTTTGAGTCCGTAGAGAAACTGTGTCTCTTTTAGAAAGTGAGCAAATTGAAATGAAAAGAATCTGGCATAATCCTTCAAATTTCACAACATAAGAAAGCTCGATACCATCTGATATGAATGCTTTCAGATTGAGTCTTCGAAATACTGGCACAAAATAGGAATGTAAATATCCCCAGAACAGCAAGCAAGCCTACTTTCGGATTATGTCAATGGTCTTTGCGGGAATGGTATCCTTTTCGAAGTTGCGTATACGAGTGAGAAAACGGAGATCCGATAGCACTTTTTGACCTTTCACCCAGTAATCCATTGTGACATGACCAAGCTGCAAATTAACACTGCTTATAGTTGCCTGTCCATTGAAGGAGGAAAGTCTACAAGATCAAACCTTTCAAGGTCACATAACGATAGCAAGTTCGAGCAAATGATCAAATTAAGTTTCTTGACATCAAATGAGAGTTGGTATAAATTGTAAAAGTTTTGAAAAGATAAATTATGTGCGATAATTGGGGTGAAATTTACCGAGTCGACTGTTTTTACAGGTGCTTCATCAAGTAGAATGCATACAGCCTCCATGCAAAGACGAACACCTCGCGGTGGATATCGCATCGATTTTAAGGTGCTGATATCACGGTGATTCAACGTATGAAGTGCATCGATTGCACTATCTAATGCTGGCATTGCATCAGCCAGCTCTTGTTCACTTTCTGACTGGAATCACAGGATGTAATCTTCTTAGCAGTTGAAAAGCTTCTCATCCTTGGGACAGTGCAGTGCAGTGAAGTCATCGCTGAGCATTGTAAAGAATGCATGATACTACACGATCGTACCTTTAACGTCTGTGCGTTTGTGGCTGCTGCATTAGCACGAGCTTCATCAGCTGCGACGATTTCACGTGCATTCTCCATTTCAATTGTTTCTTGTTCAATTCTACTCATCAGTATGCTGCAATCTGATGCTTTTTTGCATATTACTTAATCTACATAACTAACCTACTCTATTCCACTGTTCTGATATAGCTAGCATGCATAAATTTATACAGTTGTAAATTCACTGGCTTCTTATTCTTACGTACGAAAGCGGTAATGCTCCTTTCAGAGATTTGAACTGATCATGATGAGTTTATTCAGTGACTTTGTTGGCCATGCCTTCTTCTAGATGCACTACCATCCTTGAACTAAGGTTAACCTCGTTTCTGTAGACGTTCTCATAAGTTCTGGCTGAAGGCGTGCAATTTCAGACTGCAAATCCCTTATTTGTTGTTCAGCTCGCACAACCTTCTCTAGACCGAGTTCGTACCTTCAAATGGCCCTGATAAATGAGGAGATTTCCAACATTGTGGTCGACTTCTCCCAAATATGGGACTTGCACAGAAAGATCAATGCGAGGGACAAATCCGTGAATAATAATCATAGATTAATCCAACCTCTTTTGACGTTTCCGAATTGCGTCTTTGCGACGCTCGAAAATGAAACAGAACGTTTCAACAAAGTTGATCAAGCAAGATGACAATGGAAGGATTCTATAAAGAACTTAACATCACTGAAGTTTAATCGGATGTCACACAGTTCTCACTGCTGAATTCGATTTGAAAAGTTTGGTTCTTTTCAATCATGCATCCAACAAATCCATTAAGATGTCGTTGGAATTTGGGATAAAAATGTGCGAGTGATAAGAGGCAACGTACCCGAGAGACGGTAGGAATGAATGAATTGCCAGAAATTTTCTGCTCAAGTCTGATATCTGAAAAATTTGTAAATGATCCTGTCAGAACATAAATTATATCAGCTGTGAACTCAAAGTGAAGCTTTGAAGCTGAATTTCACCTTTTCCTCACTCAATTCGCATGATCGTCGAATACTAGTGATAATCATCTCCATTTTATCAGAGAAGTTCCATTCATCGAAATGATCAACAGCTGCATAATGACCAAAATTCGAGTAAACGGAAGTGATTCTATCGAATGATTTTTGTGAACAACTCAAAATTATGTGTACATTTGTCGAAACTCTCTGACAAACTCTGTCATAATAATCCCATTTCGTCGATTCCTGAAAATAGTGGATCAGAAGAGATTGTACGGCTCTGGAATTTGATGAATGCAACTTCGCTCAAAGGTTGAATGCAACTTGTCTAGATAGTGTAAAAAATGGACCCACTTTTATTCCTCACAGTGGCTTCATTGAGCAAAAACTTCAAATCTGTGATAAATTCATCGAGGAGATACTTTGATAAAATCCGAAATCAGTGTTGATGGAACAAACAAAAGCATCAAACGATTACTTGCACATATGAACTCAAGGCGACTTTATCGATAAGTTCCTCAACGATTTCATATGTGAACAAGCGTATTGATAGTCCCCCGTTATTGAGAAGCTCATTAATATCACTCAACACAACATCACGAATGCACTCTGTGAAGAATGCATCATTTATGAAGAGAACGTGACGATTGTTATCAGTAATACATGAACGAACAGTCTGAAACATGGAATTATCTTAACGAATTACTCGATGTACATACAAGATGATATTCTCAAAGATCAACGGTCCAAAATATGAAGAACAGCAAAATAAACTGAAGATGAAGGCAAGTACCCTGAGCAGAAGATCATCCCAATATTCTTTGGTTATCTGAGTAGTGAACGAATCAAATAAGCAGTTCGACAAGTGTGCCACGAACTCGCATATCCCTTCCTGACCGAGACTATCCTCTCCTTAAGAAATTTATTTGATTCAGCATGAAAATCAGAAACCTTAAATTGTTAGTAGTAATCAGTAATAATGTAGTATTTATTCATGGTGATATAGTCGAAATCAATCGCACTTAATGAAGAAAACATGATAATTGTTATCATTAATAATGGGTTACTAGATTTTGTCATCTGTATCCAAGGGAATACTAAAGATTGCCAGTTAAAGGCATTCAGGAAGGCCGTAAAATAGATGAGAATATAAGATGATTGAGTAAATAAGGAGGTGGGATAGTAGGGTGTGTGATAACAGAAAATGGAAAGATATCATGTGAGTTGTTGTCACGTTATGATCTGATTGAGCAAAAAGAGGATGACGATCAAGAAATGAAGTTAAGATTTTCAATGTGAGAATGAGAAGGTGGAAAATCATCAGCGATTTGAGCAGAAAACATACCGATCAAAACGCAGTGACCATTATGAGAACTGATGATTTTCGTGAGCAAAGCGATATGCTTTGAGCTGTAGTCACAAATCGTAATTCCAGCCCATTCGTTTGGTTCAATCTCTTTCTGCTTACTTAATAAACGGATAATGACATAATGGCTTTCTTATCATAGCGCTACAATGAGAAAAATAAAGTTTGTAGACAAAAAAGGAAAGTAGACAGAAAAACAGTTTCAAAAAGCAATTTCTTTTTGAGTGGATAATTGCGGATCAAGTTCACCAAAAGCCACTCTATAAGATCCTGTTTCAGGGTGGCTAAGTTGAGTAGAGGTCCATGTTCAAGTCCATTTATCACAAATTGGTCACAAGATCGAAGAGTATTTTGCGAGCCGTCCGTGATCACATTCCTGTGAAAACATTGAAAAAAGGATTTGAGGAATTTGCAACGCTTAAAGCCACTTCAAAATTTGTTTCAAAACTCCAGCTTAATAAAGGAGGTGAATGTGGCATGAAATCAGTGCTTATTATTGTATCTAACGTGCCTTACATTTATTTCTAGTGAAAATTTCTATGCTTCCACATTTATTCCTAGCGAAAATTTCTAAAGTTCCACCGGGTGTCGTGGCGGGCGCCTGTAATGCAAGTGACTGGCAGGTAG